ATACGTGAAGGGTGAGACGCATGTGTGGCTCGCACTGGCATGTACTCAGATGCCACCGCGATTTGACACGCAACATGATCACATTCACGCACATGTGTCGATCTACAAACATGTCGGTCCGCATATCGATCATGCGCACACCGCAACACGCACGCATGCACACGGATATTGGCCCAGCGCCGAAAGGTGCACTGACCAAATGTTGCGATGCGTGATGCACGCACACACCCACTCATATATGCGTATACATGACGCTTCGCAAACGTACAAGCGTCTATGCTAACCCTCGTATGCACAGACAGAACACGGACAAGCATCGTGAGACGACGCACCGCAAATATGCAGGCGGGGCACGGGGCACGGGAGGGGGCTGCGGCCTTCATCAGCACGCGCTCGACAATCGGGCGACCTCCGCTCCGCGAGGCGCGGGAAGCCGTGCATCGATGCCAATGGCGTGTGAGGAGGGGGAGGAAGATGCGGACGAGGAGGAAGGAGGAGGAGGAGGAGGAGGAGGAGGAGGAGGAGGAGGATGAGGGAGGAGGAGGAGGAGGAGGATGAGGCGGATGAGGAGGAGAAGGAGGAGGAGGAGGCTGAGGATGAGAATGAGGAGGAGGAGGATAATGAGGAGGAGGATGATCAAGGAGCAGGAGGATCAAGGAGGATGAGGATCAGGGAGGAGGAGGAGGAGGAGGAGGAGGAGGAGGAGGAGGATGATAATGAGATGGGGAGGGGATGGCGGGGTGCGCACAGGGCATCTGCGAGCGCACGCTCGCTCGCTCGAGAGGGGGTGGCGGAAGGGAGGGATCGGAGATCGCGGCGCCTCCCCCACCCCTCCCCGCGGGCACCTGCGATCGGGGGTTTTGCTGGGCGCAGCGTTTGGATTGTAGTTTGCAGCGCAGACAGTGGTTTACAATGACGTTTGGTTGGGGGCGCAGGGGGGAGTACCCAACATCTAAGGCGGGGGGGGGGGCGCACGTCATCTCATATGTACGTTAGCTGTGTAAGCCGCGGTACACACAGGTCATGGGTAATGGGCAACCCTTCTCCATACTCAACATTCACAGACGAATCACTCAACTTCTTATTGAGAACGACAGCCCAAAACAGTCACAGGAATACAATGGAATCGAACGTCCATAATGCGTACGTGATAATCGGCATGCTCGAGCTCAATCGCTATATTTTTGGGTCTGCTGAGCTGTAGACACTATGAGATGCCAGGGTTGCACTCTTCTGGCGTGCCACAATGGATAGTTTCACTTTCTCGACAGCTGGGGGATGGCCATCTGAGCTTGGAGAACAGCAGCTCCGAGCGGATCATCGCACTCGCCCAAGGCGTGGTGGCAGACTGGATATCGAGTGGCCGTCCTTGTAGCAGGCCGCTCAATATGTTCGAGATGTTCTGCGGCCAGGGTGGCATTTGCAAGGCCGTCAGGGACAGAGGTGGCATGGCTCGCGGGTTCGACAGGACGTCTTCCCGACAGGGACGGGCCAAACTTCCAAATGCACGTGCCATATAGGCACCACGTGCCTATATGGCACGACGACATTCGAGCGCACGCGCACACCGTATGTTGACATTGCCGACGCATCGGCGATGCGAACGCACACACGCATAACGTACGCATAAACTACGCATAAACTACGCATAAAATACGCATAAAATACGCATAAAATACGCATACATGTTTCATACAGTGCATCACCGATGCATCGGCGATGTAATGTATTTGGTCTCGTATCGTTTCCGTCATCGCCCTGAACGTTCGTCGACGCGTGACTGTGGGTCAGCGCATCCCCCGAAATGTCTTGCCCCGCCCCCATTCTGGATGTTGTAAGTCCTCGGCGGCCGAAGGTCAAGTTAGTGGATGCCCGATCTCGTTCCTAGATCCGACGGTGGCTTTCTGAGTGTATCCAGCCCTGCGCAGAGGCCGAATGCTTGTTGAGTGGGGCCTGGCAATGTGTTAGTTGAGGGCGCGTGCCCTCGACGTCACATTCGCCTGACTCCGCCCAGCGAGTATTCGCCTTCACGGCGTCTGTCTGAGGGGCTTCCTCCTCCTCCTGATCCTCCTCCTCCTCCTCCTCCTCGTCCTCCTCGTCCTTCTCGCGCCTCCTCCTCCTCCTCCTCCTCCTCCTCCTCCTCCTCCTCCCCCTCCTCCTCCTCCCCCGTCCTCCTCCTCTTCCTTCTCCTCCTCCTCCTCTTCAACCAAGGCTTTCGCAAGAAGATGTTGTTCGGGGGCCCTGTCGGATCGGCGCAGTGCCATCGGGGGGATCAGGCGTCTCTAATGGCAGCGTGGCGCCCTCGCTGCGTTGCTGGTCCACCACCCATCTATTACCGTTGTGAGACACCCGCCCCCCTCCCTGAGTTCACTTTCCCCCGAGCCCACTTCCTCCCTTGCTCCACCCGCCCTCTTCTAGAAAGGGGCAGGGGGGCGATCGCAGAGATCTGAACGCGGGCGCCCCTGTCCGCCCGCCCCTCCCCAGGACGTCCGACTCGTCCGAGGACATCTCCACGCTGGCCGGGCTCCCGTGGGCCGCGTGGTCCACTCTGGAGGTGGCGGAGGGGGGCACCCTCATGATGGAGCCCGAGTGCGGCACGTGGCTCAACATGTGCGTTGGCCACACTGCACGGGACCGCACAGGATGCTGGTGGGGAAATGAGGATCGAGAAGATGTGGTCGAGGCGAACCACGCTGCTGGAGTGACGCAGCAGACTTAGCAGCCACGATGCCGAGGGCGAGAGAGGCAAAGCAACTTGGATGATTGAGAGGGGCGGGTCAAAGGGAACACTGGGGAGCGGACGTGCCGAAGGGGGGCGGCGGGCGCACGCGCCGACACGGACCTCAAACGATCTTCGAGAGTGGGCCGACCGATCCAAACGCAGGAGATGGGGTGGGCAGTGGTAGGGGGCGACAGCCCATCCAGAAACGATGCGTTGTCGAATTGGGGTGCGCCCTGGATTCAAGAGCAGCGAGGGGTATCCCATCTGTTTTGGATGAGGATTGGGAGACGGAAGTTGATGGGGCGGAAGGAGGGAGGAGGGAGGAGGGAGGACGGAGGCGGAGGACGCACGATATGATGAATGACGGTGCGGTTGCCCCGTCTCCGTTTCCCCATGGCACGACGCGCCCTTCTCACGTGCCATATGTTGTCTCGTCCGCCCGCCCCTTTCACATCCAACCCCCTGTTCAGCAGCATGCCGCACATTACCCATCATCCATCCCTGGACAGCCAAGGTCTTGGCTTATTCAGCTGGCCGACTGCAGAGGGTGCTTCATCGTGACAGAGCAGAGCATGGGCTCCATTCTGTACACGATCCCCCACATGATGATGTCATTCGAGCTTGTTGATGCGCACAAGTTCACGACGCATCTTGGTGGGTTCGGTAGCATCACGTTGAAGCCAGTTACTGTTTTTACAACTCACGATAAAGATCGTGTGCACGAGCTTCTGCGTGTCCATCGCCAGGCAGCGCTCGCGTTTGTCAAGGATGCTGCCAGCTCTAGCGAGCGACGGCTGACCACGGAGTCGCCTCGTGCGCAGGCGTCCGCCTCCGATCAGGATGGCGCCCGCGGCTGGGGTTCACGTCGAGGGACGTGGATTCGTGGCTCGGCGTCGCAGCGCAGCAGCGCCCGCTACCCTGTGGCATTTTGCCAAGCGGTTGCGCAGCTGGTCATGTTCCAGCGAGCTTGAGGCCCAAACGAACACGTGCAGTCTTGATGATGATATTGATGTGGCAGAAGATGACGACGATATGTCATTAGAAGAGAAGCGAAACAACAAAATACACACGGGTCCTCGTGCTCGCTGTAGCTGCCGTACACCGCGTAGACCGCGTCGATGACCCACGTGGGCAAAAGCAGCACGCAGGCAAGAGCAAGTGCGAAGACGAGATCAAACACGATCGACCCCCCTCCCTCCCCCAATCCATATTTGTTTCCCTAGATCGTGCCAGGAATTCGCGGGGGAGGGGCGTGGCAGGGGGTCGATCGCGTTCGATCTCGTCTGTGCCCCAATCGCCAGGAGGAAGAGGAGGACCCGAGGAGTAGGAAGGGGGAGGCTGAGGAGGAGGATGGAGAGGGAGGAGGAGGAGGAGGCTTCGAGGAGGACTCGATGATAAGGAAGATGAGGAACATGAGGAGGAGGATAGGAGGAAGAGGAGGGAGGAGGAATGATGAGGAAGGTGAGGAGGAGGGTCGGAGGAGGGAGTAGGGAGGAGGAAGGAGGGTGGACACTGGAGGAATGATGATGGAGGACGGGAGAGGGATGAGGGAGGAGACTGGCTACACAGAAAAATTCACAATGGCCGCATAAGCTCATCACACACACACAACATGAAATCTACATAAACCCTGGTCTGTCGTCCTTCCCCCGTGTCTCGTCCTCCTCCTTCTCCTGTCGCCCCTCGGGGTCTCCCCTGCGCTCCGCTGCTCGTGGCCCGTGGCCCGCGGCCTGTAGCCAGGCTGCAGTCGCGTGCCCTACGCGACCCCTGGCGCTCTGATCGATACCAGTGGCCCTTGCCTGCTTGACTTCAGGTGCACACGCAAACATCGAGGTGGCTGTAGGTAGATGTGCGCTCATGTATAAATAACATTATAACATATATATGCTCTTAAACTTGGTTTCTTAAAATAAGATGTTAAGATCCTCTGGGTCCTCCTCCTCCTCCTCCGGCCGAGGCCCGCCAGGACTCGGGGGGGGCGCCCCGACCGAGGAGCAGGTGCGACCCGGGCGGTGGGGCGGGCGGGAGGGCCGCGCCGCGTGCCCACCTCATGCCGCCAGTCGGCTCGGTCTTGGCCGGGTCGCTGGCGCGCGTTGGGGCAGGGGCCGGCCCTGGCACCTTCGTCGCACCTCCCCCCACTGTCCGCAGCCAGACCAGGACGGCGAACCCGGGGGGGGGGCGGCCGCCGCGCCCAGGGTAGGGTGATCGCAGCTCGCCACCTCGGCTCAAGGTTCCCACACCAGGCACTGCAGCAGAAACGACCCGTCGCGCCGCCACCATGGCAGCCCCAGTGGCCCCGGATACGGCCTTCCTCCAGCAGCTGGGCGTGACGATCGAGATTGCCACGCCTCTCTTGGTGGGCCGCCACAAGCAGCACATGAAAGCGCTTGCAGCACCGGGCCGCGGCGGCTCGGACTGGAAGCAGGCTCTCGTCAAGACCACGGTGGCCCTCCTCCGCTCCGAGGCGATCCGCACCGTGGACCCGGGCCGCATCGAGAAGATCATGACGGCGTATGTTGCGACAGCGTACTTCCAGGAGAAGGTGCCCTCCACCTCCATGCGCGAGGTCGTGCGGGATGCCCTTGAGGAGCACACGCGCGGGCACCGCGACCGGGACCGCCGCCGGGACCGCCGCCGCAAACGCAGCCCGACCCCCGGTTCCGCCGACGGCGGGAGCAGCAAGCGGCAGCGCCGAGAGCGGGGCGCGGACTCGCCTGACGCTACCCAGACTGTGACCAAGATGAGCCCGGGAGACGCAGTGGGCGGAGCGGAACCGGACGAAGACAGGCTCGTATGCTCGCCAACACCGCCGGCGGGCTCCCAAACGGGCCAGCCCGGCGGACACAAGGTGGGGGACGCGGTGGACGTGTGGAGTCACACCAGGCGCGAGTGGGTCGCGGGCCGTGTGACCACCCACTACGCGAACGACCAGTTCGACGGCAACTTCCACTGCCGGGCGGGGAGCCTACGGGTCAGGACGCCGCACGGCCACAAGTACATTACCCCCGAGTTCATCCAGACCCACTTGCGCGCGCCCGCAGACGGGCCTGAAGACCTGCCGGGCCAGGCGGCGGGGCCGGCCTCGGCGGCGCGTGTGCGCGAGGAGCCGGGGGCTGGCTCCTCCGCTGGCGGAGATACGCACGGGGTTGCCAGCGCGGCCGCAGCGGTGCCCCCCCAGCGCCCGGGGTACCTCCAGGGGCGCCGGCTCGCAGAGGCTGGGCCCACTGCCCTCGAGCTCAAGCTGAGCCAATTGGTGGAAATGCTTGAGGAGTTGGGCGACGCCGAAGGGGCCGCAAAGCACCGGGAGCGCCTCGTTGCAGCCCAGCAGCAGAGGCGCGCTGACCAAGCGGCGGAAACAGCCCCGCCGAGCGCCGCGGCAGCCGCCCCAGCCGGCGGGACCCCCACCCTGGACTCAGACGCAGAGGAGGCGGCTCAGGGGAGCTCGCCGGACGACCCCCTCGGTATCGGGGCACTCCTCGCGGAGGCCGCCGGGGCGGCCGCGGACGGGCCCCCGCTGATGGCTGAGACGGCCAGCACTGCGCCTGGCCCCGATCCTGGCAGGCCGCCTGCGGAGCGCGCCCCGCTGCCCATGCCCCTGCCCCGCGTGGACGTGGCGGCGCGGCCGGCGCAGAATGGCCGCTTGTCTGATGAGAGTCACTGGGCCCGGCTCAGAGCGGAGCGTCCAGCTCGACCCCGGCTGGCGTACCTGCAGGACACGCTCCTCCCGGGGTGGCGCCCGGCGGCCGGGCCGGAGGCCATGGAGCTGGAGTTTGCGGTGCACTCCGCGGACGCAACCTGGGAGGACCAGCTGTGGCAGTGGTTCGAGGCGCTTGCGCAGGCGGGGGTCTTCGTCGACACCTACGTGATGGACCCAGCCAAGCGGGGCGAGGTGACCGGCAACGCGCACCTCACCCCAAAATGCACGGCCACGACGCCCTGTGTCAAGGTACGGGGCATCGGGTTGACGATCAACTGGTTCCGCACAACGGACGGGCGTGTCCGCCTAGATGGGGCGTGGACGCAGCAGCCCACCCTGCTTGAGATGCTGCGTAGGTCCCACAAAGCCTACCAGCCAGGGAACTCGGAGCAGGGCCGCCTGACAGGCCGGCAGATGGACCCGGTCCGGGCCGCGCAGCGCACCCAGCGCACTGAGCTCGAGCAACGCGCCCAGTGGGAACGGCACCACCAGGATACGATCACAGTGCTGGCGGCCGCGGAGATCTTCGACGGCATGGGCCTGACGGGGGTGTGGGACGTCCTCGACAGGGAGTTCGGCGTGAAGAACGTCCCCCCAAGCACCAACCTCCCGTGGACCCTCGCCCTCTACCAGGGCACCCTGGTCCAGATCTGGGCTGACGGGGCGGCGCGCGTCCGCCTGGGAACGGGGCCTCCCAGTGCGGCGGACGCAGTGGCCCAGGTGCTTGCCAACCAGTTCAGCGGTGAGGTACGGAGGGCGAGCGATTTCAGTGTGACGGCGGCAGCCAACCCAATCAGGGTGCGCTACGGAGTGCTATCGGAGAGAGCGAAGCAGCGGGGCGGCCAGGCGGGTTTTCGCTCGGGGGGGAGGTCATCGCGGCGCTGACCTCCAACTGCCCCCCAGGAAGCACCCCCGCGGATGCCCGCCGGGTGGACGCCGACCTCCGCAGCGCGGAGGAGCAGCTGCTCAACGAGCGGACCGCCCAGCTGGAGCAAGCCCTGGCCACCTGGCGGCCAGCGGTGGCGGGGCCGTGGCGAGATTGTCTGGCTGACCTTGTGCGGCGAGCCCCCGGATGGGAGGACCCGCAGGCGGGTGGCCTGGCGGGCCGCCGGCACCTCCCGGCCACGGCGGCCTTGGCGCGGCGGCTCAGCAGGTCGTGCGCGGAGTTGCAGCGCCGCCTTCCGCCGTCGCCAGCCGCGATGCCGCACCCCCCCGGCACGGCCACCACGGCGGGCATGCTGAACTTTGGACTCAGCGGCGGAGCCGAGATCGGGGGGGCGACCATCCTCCCCCGGCGCTGGGAGGACATCGGCGCGGTCATGACGGCCTTGAACGCCGCCTGGTTCTTTGGCGTCTCGTGCAGATGCCCAGAAGGCACCAACCTTGCGGTCGCCCTCCCGGGCTTCCCCTACACGCTGCACGGTCCGCGCACGGCCCGGTTCGGAGCAGTGACCGTCCTCGTGCACCGGGGGAAGCCAGATGCTGCGGCTCACCTCCCAGATTGGTCCAGCGGGCCGGGCACCTGCTGGGTACAGACGGGGGCTGGGGAGTACTGGTGCGGCTTCAGCATCCCGCCACGCGAGAGGGGAGCCAACGAGCGCGCTCGGGCGGACGCGGTTCGCTCACTCTTCTCTGAGTACGACCGCGCGAGAGCTGCGGGACGCCGCCGCCGCCCGGGCGCACAGGTGTACATGGCGGGGGACCTCAACCCCGGAGACGACATTGATGCACAGGTCCGCGCGGCGGTCGAGCAGCGGGGGCTCCGCCACATGATCCCCGAGGGCGTAGCCACCCACGTCCGGGGAAGAAGACTGGATGTGGTACTTGCCCCAGCGGCTGGTGGCTGCGCGATGGTCCAGGTCCACAACGGCAAGCGCTGCAGGGACAATGGGTGCAAGGAGGCCCTATGCCGGGCGCGGAGCGAAGCCCTGGGTTCCCGCGATCTGGACCACCATCCAGTCACGTGGGCTGCGGCCTCGGTGGAGGCAGAAGCGGGGCCCGATGGGGGAGCCCTACGTTGCGACAAAGACCCGGAGAAGTGGAACCACGAGATGACCGCTTGGGCGGATGGAGCCATGGCCACCTTGGCAGGTGAATTGGCCGCCCGATGCCACCAGCCGTCCTGGGCCCGAGCCACCTCGCAGGAAGCCAAAGCAGCGCTGGACATGGCGGCGTGGGCATGGCGGACGACGGCCACCCTGGCCGCAGCCGCGGGGGACCTCGCCTGGGCGCCACCGCCCGCAGCGCACCGCCGGCATGACGCTGACGCGGCTGAGGCCGCGGCATTCCGGGAGGTGACCCAGGCAGCCGCCCGGCACCAGCGAGCAGCCACGGCGACATCCCTTGCTGCGCTTGAGGCCGCCAGGCAGCGCCTCCGGGAGGTCCGAGGCGCGAGCGCCCGGGCCCAGCGGGACGCCGCCCGCCACCGGGCGCTGGCCCTCCTCCAGACGAACCCGCTGGCGGCGACAACAGTCCTCAAGGAGCACTCGGCTGGGCCGCCGGAGGGCCTGCCGGCCATCATGCGGGATCCGGAGGAAGAGGACCGCATGCTCGTCGGCACGGAGCAGGTGCTGGATGGCGCGCGCCGGTACATCCCGAGGCGAGACGACCCGCCGTGGGGCGGCGAATGGGACGCGGAGCACGCGGCGGCGATGCGGGCCCGCCTGGAGCGGCAGCGCTCGGAGGCCAGGCGCGCCCTCTCCCAGTGGGACCCGGAGGAGGCGTACACCCTTGCAGAGGCAGGCCAGGCCTTGCGGAGGATCCGCCTGCGCGCCCAATGCAGGGGCCTCCCCTATGCCATCCTCCACAGTACCCATGTGGGTGTACTCGAATCCCTGCTGCACCTTGCCACCCTCAGCCTCCGGCTTGGCCGCCCCCCTGGCCTGTGGCTCGTCCAGGATAATTGCCACTCGCACAAGGATGGCAAGCCGCGTGTGGACTACGGCGGCTACAGAGTCTTCGCGCTGTGCTCGGCGGAGGGGCGCTTCGCGGAAGAGCTGTGGGGCGGCCGCGGCCGCGCGCTGCTCCAGGGCGGGCTGGGGGCCCTCCAGGACGCGGGAGGGGACAGCCTGGTCTCCAGCCTCCTGGACCAGGAGGTGGCGGCCATCTGTGCGTCCCAGGGGCGCCCCTGCGCGGACGTATTCGCGGACGAGGCGGAGGCCTTCGACTCGCAGGATCGCACAGAGGCGTTGGTCGCAATGCACGACAGGGCGGGCATCACAGGCCGGCAATGGCTCCTCGCAGAGTCCATGCTGAAAGACACCACTGTGGTGGTTGCCGGGCGTGGAGGCCGCACCAGGCCATTCCGGCCGAGAGTGGGCATGCCGGAGGGCCGGGGCCTCAGCCCGGCGCAATACAGCCTCGCCAACGCAGACAAGCTGGAGGAGGTGGCGAGCGTGCCGGGCGTGGGCCTTGGACTTGACCCGCCCGAGGCGGCGCTGGCGGCCTACCGCGCCCATAGGAACGGGACCGACGCGGATCACTTGGACGTCCACGAAATCCAGCAATGGGCGCAGCTCCTCAGCGACAGCCACGTGGACTGGGATGGGTGCATGGCAGCAGCGTCGTCGGATGCCATCCGGCTGGGGCTCCTGGACGCGTTCTCCACAACGAGGATCGGGCCCAGGGCATTTGTGGACGATGTCCGTGCCAAGGCGAGCTCGAGAGCGCAGTGCGGGGTCGTCGTCAAGGCCCTCCAGGAAGCCGCCCGCCGCCATCGTGGGCACCTCCGCTACGGACCCACCAAGACAGCGATCCTCGCCCGGGGCTTCGCGGACACCAGGCCCACCCGCGGTGTCTCCTTCGTGGACGAGTACCGGAGCCTGGGCGTCCAGCGATCGTCAGGGCAGCCAGGCAGTGCGCACCTCACTGCCATGGAGCGGGCGGCGGGCGAGGTCGGGCGGCGGCACATACAGACGATGAGCGGCCTGGGGTTCTCGCTGCAGGAGATCTCCCTCGGCATCACTGCCTGCACCCAGCCCAAGACAGTGTACGGGGCCGAGCTGTGCATCCACGCGAAGGCGAGTGGGCCAACGCTCAACCGCATCCAGGAGCGGTGGGCCCGAGGGGCCCTCGGAGTCTGCGGGCCCATCCCGCGGGCCCTGCTCCTCCGCCATGTGGGGTGGCCGATGCGGCTCTCGACGCTCATAGAAGAGCGCGCGATCCGGCTGTACTGCCGTGCCCAGGTGGAGCCGAGATACGCCGAGGCAAAGGCGGTCTTGGCTCTCGCCCAAGACGCGGCTGGCACATGGACACACCACGTCCGCCAGTTAATGGTGCGCTGGGGCGTGCCCGAGCCGCCCGGACCGGCAACTGGGCCGGCCGCCGCGATCAGGTTCAGGCGCCTGGTGCGGGCTGCCGCTCGTGGCCAGGACAGGGCATGGCTGGCCGAGCCCGCGCAGCGGGAAGCCCTCCAGCGGCCAGCGGGCACCGGGGCCACGGCGGCAGACCTCAGCGCGCAGGGAGCCACGCTACCAGAGGTTCGAGCGTGGGCTCGCCTCGCCTTGCAGGGCGCCCTCCTGCGGGATGCAACCGGGGCGGTGGCCGCGTGCCGGTTCTGCGGCGCCTCGCTCGAGACCTGGGCCCACCTGGAGCAGTGCCCCCCGGCGGTGGTAGCGCTGGGGCGCGCGGGGCCAGCGGCAGCGGGCTGGGCGAGCAGCCCCCCCACGGCCGCCGAGGCGCGCCGGCTGGAGGCAGCTGCGGAGGAGGCAGCTGCGGAGGCTGCCGCGCGGGGCCCATGATAGAACCAGAGCGGAGTAGCGAGACATAAGAAGTGGCGATGAACTGGCCCCCTTCCGACTCGTCTCCGGCCCCCTCGCCCCCCCGCCCTCGCCCCCTCATCGTCCTGGCCCCCTCGCCTCCTCCCCGCCCTCCCCTCCTCCCTCCCTGGCCCTCGCCCCCCGCCGGCCCGCCTCTCTCCCCCCCATATGGAAGCCGCCGCAGGCTGAAAAAGGTATGAATATTTGTTCATGCCTTTTTCCGTGCCCTGGTGCCCGGCCCTGACCCGCGCCAGAGTGAGGCATTGACAGGAGGCCCCTGATCCCGGGGGACGCCCGCACTGACGACCCCGTCCGGGGGGCACCCATGGACGCACCGGAGCGCGTTGGCCCCGGTTGGCCCAGCCTCTGGCGCGGGCCCGGGGGCTGGAGGCTGGGGGGTGGCCCCGTGCCGGGGCCGGGGCGGGCGTCCTTCGGGGGGGGGGGCTCGCCGGGAGCGCTCGGGGAGTCCCGGGGCTCGCCGGTGAGCACCCCGGGGCGGCCAGCCCAGGTGAAGCTTGGCGCTGGCCAAGCTTGCCATGCGGCGGGCCGCCCCCGGGCGCCATCGGGGTGTCCGGTGGCTGGCCTGGGCACGTCTGGAGTGCTGCCACTCGCCGTGCGATGTCGGCCCGTGCATTGCCACCCCGCTCTGGCGTGAGTGCCTGCCGAGCAGCCACCCGCCCCAAGCGGGGCTGCCGGAGGCTACCCACCGAGTGGCACTCGTCCGGCCTAGCGTCGGGGGGGCCGCCGGGGAACCCCCTCCCCAGAGGGCTGGTGCGCAGGGGCCCCCCGCGTCAGCGTCGGGCGCCACCCACCAGACCCCCTGGCCGCGGGGAGGGGCAGCAGCCGCGGGCTGGGCGCTAGGAGGCCCGCCTGCGGGGAATGTAGGAGCCCGTGCCGGGCGGCCCGGCCGGGCGCGCCGCCCGACTGTGGGTGCGCGTCAAGCGGTCGGAAGGAAGGAAGGAGGAGGAGGAGGAGGAGGAGGGAGGAGGAGGAGGAGGAGGACTCCCGCTGCTCCCGCGGTCAGAGCCGACAGCCAGGCCGCGCGGTGAGCGCGGGGGAGAGGACCTCGGACGCCCGCGTGGCCGGAGCTCTTCGAGCGGGGCTGGCCATCGAACGTGGCCAAGGATGGACCTGTATGCTGGGATGATGAGGAGGAGGAGGAGGAGGAGGAGGAGGAGGAGGAGGAGGAGGAGGAGGGACGAAGAGGAGGTCGAGGAGGAGGGAGGAGGAGGAGGAAGAGGAGGAGGAGGAGGAGGAGGAGGAGGAGGAGGAGGAGGAGAAGGAGCAGGAACAGCCCAGAGGTCGAGGACTCCGTGTGGGACAGGATGCAGAGGGCACCCTTGGGAAGGTTGCCCATCCTTCCACAGTCGGACCTGGGCTAGTTCGGGCATGTCCCTCTACTAGGGGGATTTTGGGCGGAAACTTAGAAAGACCCCCAAAACAATCAAGCATAGTCGAAACACGCTCCAAACATGGCCACCCGACAATTGTGTGACTAGTTTTGAAGTTTCCTCCTGTAGAGGGACAAACCCTACCTAAACCTGGGCCAGAAAAGAAAACATCCTTCGAAAAGACGAGACCCTCCGCCGGCCAACGCACACACACACAGAGAACATCCGAGGGTACCCTCCCCCCCGGATGCAGAGGAACATCCAACGATCACGGAGAACATGAGACATGAGGGTACCCTCCCCAAACCGACCTCGATCTTGTACCTCGGTCCGACCGTGCCACTTTCGTGATTTGTTGTTCCCTGGTCTCAAACTCGTCGGATGAGGAGTGGGGGGGAGGGTCGAGGGTCGAGGATCGAAGAGCATCGAGGAGGATCGAGGAGTATCGAGGATCGAGGAGAATCGAGGAGGATCGAGGAGGATCGAGGAGGATCGAGGATCGAGGATCGATGAGGATCAAGGATCGAGGATCGAGAGTCGAGGATCGAGGGTCGAGGTTCGAGGCTTTCCCCTGTGCGCATCGGCGCAGGGCAGCCCAGCTTGGCAGCCCGCGCCCCCGGGCAGCCAAAGGGAGGGGGGGCGGCGGTGGGCGGGGCGGCCCCGCGGGGGAGGGCCGCCTCGAGCACGAAGCTGCGGTCCTCGGGCAGCGGGGCGGCGGGCAGCACAGAAGGTCTGGCCGGCGGCCACCGGCCTTGCCACGCGGAGGGGACAGGGAAGCATGCACGTGCACCGATTTTGGTCAGGCCCATCCTGAGCCCAGGATCGGTGCACACGCCCTCATGCCTTGACCACCAGCCTTGCCACGCGAGGGCCGTCCAGTGCCACGGCAAGCTGGCGTTACGTCGGGCGTGTCCCCCTGCAGGGGGATTTTCGACGAAAAACAAAACATGCTCAAACAAAAACAAAAACAAAACTCCAAAATGGTAAAAGATACTCCAAACATAGTCCCCCGACTATTTTTTTACTATTTTTGAATATTCCCCCTGTAGAGGGACATGCCCGACTTAAAGCTGGCGCCACTCGGCGGCGCGCACAAAGGGGCAGGGGGGAGGGGGGACGGCTTCCCGCAAAGAGGCCGCTCCTGAGGCGGCGCTGGGCCCACATCTGCGGACGAGGCCCGCGCCTTCTGCGAAGCATGGTGCTTCCCCCTCGTCCTCCTCCTCCTCCTCCTCCTCCTCCTCCTCCTCCTCCTCCTCCTCCTCCTCCTGGTGCTACCTCCTCCTCTCCTCCTCCTCCTCCTCCTCCTCCTACTCCTCCTCCTAGTGGTGCTGCCTCCTCCTCCTCCTCTCCTCCTTCTCCTCCTCCTCCTCCTCCTCCTCCTCCTCACCCTTCCGACCTCCTCCTCCTCCTCCTCCTCCTCCTCCTCCTCCTCCTCCTCCCCTCTGCGCGTGGCCGAACCTGGCCAACGGTCCTCGGCCCTGCCACACATGGACCGCCCAATGCCGCGGCAGGTTGCTGCCGGGGCGCCGCTCTGCCGCGATGACGGCGCCCCTGAGAGAGCAGATGACCGGCATGCGGCGCAGGAAGTCGAGGCCGACTGGAGAGGGCACGCGAGCGGACACAGGCCCCATCCGAGGGCCAGGCTGCCGTAGGAATGCATGCAGCATGCGGGGGGCGCGAAGCCCTGGGACACCAGGGCACTCCTGGAACTGGCAGGGGTGGCCTACTGTAACCAACCTCGATTGTATTTGCTGGATGCCCGGAACGGGTACAGACAACACGGGTACGATGCCCCACGCCAGCTATGGTCCAACAGCGACAGCGGCCGCTCTCTCGGGCAAGCGGCCATCTGCCCCAGAAGACAACACCTTCTCGGCGACGCCGGCAGCGAGTCCTGTACAAGCTGGGCAGGGACTGCTGACGGGAGGAAGGAACGTGCGTTCGAACCCAATGTGCTTGTCAAGAATGCCACAAGCTGAGGGGGCCCAGAGACACACAAATAAACAGCCACAAGTCCCAAGATTCCCGGTAGTGTTGCATATTTTCAGGGTTGTCGTCAACCCCTTCCGCTTCCCATATTTCCCATAGTTTCCTGAGGATCGACGTTTATTTGTGACTGCATGTACTTGTCCCTCCTGATAAGCTGGTGTCGCCCTTTGTTGGATCAAGAAACCTCCGTCGGGCACTGCGCTAACATGGACTGGGGATCCGTGGACTGGCGTGCTGGCGCCAGACATATGGATCGAGGGCGCCCAACTTCGCGCGCTCCGCGCTGCGCGAAGCGCGAAGAACTTCGCGCTCTCGCTCCGCCGCCCAAGGGATAAGAGGAGGACGAGGATTAGGCCGGGCATGTCCCCCTACAGGCAGATTTTGGACAAAACATGAGTATATTCAAAAGATGCTCAAACATCGCAACAAACATGCTAGAACAATCGTGCCTAATTTTGGATAGTCCTCCTGTAGAGGGACATGCCCGACTTAATGCTTGCGCTTCCTTGACCCCGGCGCATATTGCTCCTCCTGCCCCCCCCCTCGGGCCGGACGAAAGGGGGTGACAGTCAAGGCGGGGGCCAGCCAGTCGGTCCGCGCAGAGCACAGGAGCTCGACCGCAAGACACCTTCCGCGGGAAACCCGATCCTGGCCCCGAGACCCCAGGACGTCCGTGGACTCTTTTGGTGTGGGAACGCCGCGCTCTCCATACCAACCCATCGAATCCCTAGACACCCAGGGCACCCTGGAGGCAGGCAGGGCGTCTCTTGGCGTGGGTTTGCACTGCAGCCACAGTCTCTCCGGCGCCTCCCTGGTGCCGGAGGCGTCGGTGCATCGAGGCCTGCGCCCAGCGGCGGGGGCGAGAGCAGGTGCTGAAGGGGCCCTGGGACACACAAATAAATACACACAAATAAAAAGGTTCCCCATATTTTCCCATATTTTCTGGGTTTTGTCTTCCCGCCCAATTCCAATATTTTCCCATATTTTCTTGGGGATCGACGATTAATTGTGTCTGTGTGTTTTTTCCCTCCTGAAGTGCACGCAGCAGATGCCGCACGGGCACGATGGTGATGAGAACGTTCTTGCTGGGCCTGCTCTGAAACTGCGGTTGCCCCTCGTTAGATAACGAAAAGAGCGAGGTACGAGTGATGACGTTCTGGTGTGGGCGAAGCCCTAAAGGGAGGGGTTCCAGGGGAGGGGGGAAGGGGGAGGGAATTGGTCTAATGGCCGCACGGGCATGATGGTGAGCAGAACGCTCTTTCTGGGCCTGTTCTGAAGCTGTGGTTGCCCCTCGTTGGATCTACTGGCCTGCCAACGCTTTTGGGCCGATGTTGCTGATCAGCATGTGTTACGGCCCCGTTGCAGGGCATCTCGGGTGGCTCATTGGCTGGCCTGCCGCCCCGTGTTGGCAGAGTGCGTCTCGTCGCTTCTGTTGCCCTGCAGGTCGGCCCGTGCCCAGTTCCTTGCAGGAGTGCCGGCCACGTCTGCAGACTTCGCACTCTGCCCTTTCCCTATACCCCACCCTGTCGTCCGACGCGATACCTCTCTCCCTCCTCATCCTCCTCCCGCTCGGGGCTGCACGCGGGCAGAGGATCCTCCGATATACTTCCTCATCTCCTCCCTCATCCTCCGCATCCTCCTCATCCTGCTCCCCCTCCCTCCTCCTCCTCCTCCTCCACCTCCTTCTCCTCCTCCTCCTTCTCCTCCTCCTCCTCTTCCTCCTCCTCCTCCTCCTGATTCTCCTCTCCCTCCCCCCGCTACACTGCCCTCCCCCTCCCCATCTTTGAGCAAACTTGGCGGCGCATTTAAGTCTCCTCCCCCTCCACCTCACAAGGGGGCTGAGTACTGCCCTGAAGTCACCATGTGCCTCACACTATACGCTGTGCAAACCGGCTGTCGACGTCTGCCGAAGAAAGCCCCCGGCCACGGCAAGCTTCGCGTCGTGCCGACCCCGAAACTGGTTGTTGATACCGCTGGGATCGTTCAGCCGTGAAGTGCGGGAGGAGGAGGAGGAAGAGAAGAAGGAGGAGGAGAAGGAGGAGGAGGAGGAGGAGGAGGAGGAGGAGGAGAAGGTGGAGAAGGAGAAGGAGAAGGAGAAGGAGAAGGAGAAGGAGAAGGAGGAGGAGGAGGAGGAGGAGGAGAGGAGGAGGAGGAGGAGGAGGAGGAGGAGGAGAGGGAGGAGGAGGAGGAGGAGGAGGAGGCAGGAGGAGGAGGAGGAGGAGGAGGAGGAGGAGGAGGAGAGGAGGAGGAGGAGGAGGAGGAGAGGGAGGAGGAGGAGGAGGAGGAGGAGGAGTGAGGAGGAGGAGGAGGAGGAGGAGGAGGAGGAGGAGGAGGAGGAGGAGGAGGAGGAGGAGGAGGAGGAGGAGGAGGAGGAGAGGAGAGGAGGAGGAGAGGGAGGAGGAGGAGGAGGAGGAGGAGGAGGAGGAGGAGGAGGAGGAGCAGCAGGAGAGGGAGAAGGAGGAGGAGGAGGAGGAGGAGGAGGAGCAGCAGGAGGAGCAGCAGGAGGAGGAGGGGGCGATCGGCCGTTTCCGCAACGTCCGATCGTCCCACGTCGACCGACTCGGGGCCGGCGGCGGCACTCCGCGCCGTACGCCCGCCGAGCGGCGCGGCGCGAGCCCACCGCGCGCCCGTCGCGGCGCGAGCCCAGCCCGGCAGACGTCGACGCGAGCCCCCCGTGGACCGTGGAGGGCTCGCCCTCCCCCGCCCCCCCTCCTGGAGGAGTGAAGGGGCCCACAAACACACAAATAAATAAAAACAAATAAAAAGAATCCCCATGTTTTCTCAAATTTTCTGAGTTTTTGTCTTCCCCACCACTTCCCATATTTTCCCATATTTTCCTGGGGATCGATGATTAATTGTGTCTATGTGTTTCTTCCCCTCCTGAAGGAGGAGAGGAGGGCTTGCCCTCCCCCCTCCTCGAGGGGCGACGGCGGTGCGACGACCGAGGCGGACGACCACCGGGACCTCAGCAGGCGACCCTGGAGATCTCTCAAGTCACCGGAGGTCCCCCGAGGTCCCTGGAGGCCTCTGGAGGAGCCCTGCAGGAGCCCCCAGAAGGGGAGCACCAAAAGATCGCCTCAAAGAACGCTGTGCGTTGTGGAAACATTGGGATCGAACAAAAAGGTTGCACACCCCTTGCAGAACCCTCTGCGCAACACCTTGCACAATCCCCCCAGTGCACACCCTGCTCAAGCTTTTTACTCCACCTCCTCGGGCCCCGATAGGGGGCCCCCAAAAGCGCTTCAGAATCGACGGCGGCGGCGGCGGTGGCGGCGACGACGACGACAGGGAGAGAGCAAGGACAAGGACGACATGGGGGAGACGACGGCGACGGCTAAGGCGACCATCGACGACGACCGCAGGGCGAGAGCAAGGGCGTGAGCGAGGACGACAGACCGAGAGCAAGGATTCAGGACGACGAGGGCGACAATCGACGACGACAACATGGCGAAGGCAAGGACGGCGCGCTTCGGCGGCGCTGGCGGCAGACGAAGGTCGGCAGCGTCCTTCAGCGCGTCGGTCGGGGCGTGCTCGAGCGCGAAGGGGGTGAGCCGCGTCGCCTCCAGCAGCAGCTCCCTGTCCTCAGGCGGGCGACCCTCAGATCCGCGCATCGCCAACAAACCGCAACGGCCAGTTTTGCGTCGTTCGCCGTCTGGAGTTGGCTTCCTATCAGCGGTTTAAACATGGGGCCCTGAGGGATGTGGCCCTGAGGGCACAGTGGAGGCCAGTCCACAAGAAACTTTTCATAAGAAACCCAACTCTGGGACCCCGGGACGTCCATGGATTTCCGGTGGGAACGCCACAATTTCCATGGCAAAACCATCGAAACCCAAGAAACCCAGTGCACCCTGGAGGCAAGGAAGATGTTTCTTGGCATGGGCCCCCACTGTAGGAAGGAGGTCCCGGGCTGAATTCAAACCGCGGTTGAGGTCCCTCGTCCTCCAGGCTCCATTCGAACCGAACGTGGGAGTCTGGCGCCGACACAAGACATCCGCGCGGACCTCCAACATGTTATGCTTCTATGCTGTGTGTCTCTTCGGGGCGAGGATGAGGGCTGGAGGAATATTGAGCGGCCCCTTCCGCGAACTCTTCGCGTGCTATCCAACGCGGCACTTTCGCGGGGCCCGAGCGGGGTCTATCGGCAAGGAAATGTTAAAGTCCATCCTTCGTCAAAACCCTGGGTTGTCCAAGAGGGTGGCCTGGGGGGGGTCACCACACGACGTGGCTCCACACGAGTCTGGACCCCCTTCCTCGGGACCGGCTTTCCACCCCGCATCGTTTCTGACGGTCCCGGGGCCCGGTGAGGGCCGCCAGAACCCTCCAAGATAGCAGACACGCTCCGCCGGTTTTCGTCACAGCGAAAGGATGCCAGGGTCGCTGGGCGATAACTTGACTCTCCTCACTGCTCTGCGCCATTCGTGCGACCCCGCGCCAATCACATCGTCAACGTCCAGAGAGCACTCGTCGGAGGCGGGGCCGCCTGCGTTGGAGCTGGCTAGGGCGGGCCTCGGCGGCCTTGCAAACCTGGCTGCATGGCAGGCCTCCCTGGTGGCGAGGATGCGGAGGAGGAGGAGGAGGAGGAGGGGTAGGAGGAGGAGGAGGAGGAAGAGTATAATGAGGAGGATGATGATGATGATGATGATGATGATGATGATGATGATGAGGAAGAGGAGGAGGAGGAGGAGGAATAGGAGGCCAATCTTGTACCAAATCCCCAAGGCTCCCTCCTGAGTCCATCCAGCCGCCAGGATCGAGCGCACTCGGAGGCCGAACGGTCTCGGCTCCCGCCAATCCCTCCGGAACTGAGCCCACTCGGCTGCTCACTCGGCGGCCGCGCGGACCCAGACCCCGAACAGGCTAACAGAAAGGCGTCCAAGCGGCAAACGAAGGAAAAGAAAACCACACATTCACACGCACGCGCGCGCACGCACGCACGCAAGCACACACACAAACAAACACACACACACACATTCGCACGCACACACACACACACCCACACGCACGCACGCACGCAAACACACGCATACACGCACGCACGCACGCATAAACACACACACACACACACATTCACACGCACACACGCACGCGCGCAAGCACGCACGCACGCACACACACACATTCACACGCGCACACGCACGCACGCACGCACAAACGCACGCACGAACACACACACACACACATTCACACGCACGCGCACACGCACGCACACTCACACATTCACACGCACGCGCGCACGCCCGCACGCGCAGACACACACACACACATTTACACGCACACGCACACGCACACATTCACACGCACGCACGCACGCACACACACATTCACACGCACACGCGCGCGCACGCACGCACAACACACAATACACAGACATTCGCACGCATACACGAACGCATGCACACATGCACGGACGATGACACAGACACACACACACATATTCACACGCACACGCGCACGCACGCACGCACGCACGTTCGCAAGAACACACACACACACACACTCACACGCGCACACGCACGAACGCACGCACGCACGAACACATTCACACGCACACTCGCACGTACGCACACACGCACGCACGCACACACACAGTCACACGCGCACATGCACGCGCGCGCACGCCCACACACATATTCAAACGCACGCACGCACGCACGCACACACACGCACACACGCACGCACGCACGCACACACGCACATTCATACGCAGACTCACGTTGATACGCACGCACGAACACACTGTTTCACGCAAACAAGTGCGCGCACACACGCACGCACACACATTCACACGCACACGCGCGCGCACACACACACATACACACACACACACGCACATTCACACGCACACACGCACGCACGCACACACGCACGCACGCACGCACGCACGCACACACAGTCACACGCACACACGCACGCACGCACGCACGCACGCACACACACACACATTCACACGCACACACGCAAGCACGAAGGCAAGCACGCACGTACGCACATACACACACACACACGCACGCAAACACGCACGCACGAACGCACGCACGCACACACACATTCACACGCGCACGCATTAACACGCACACGCGCACGCACACACGCACGCACGCACGCGCACACACATCCACACGCACACGCATACACGCACGCACGCACGCACACACAGTCACACGCACACGCGCACACACGCACACACTCACGCACGCACGTACACACACACTCAACCGCACACATGCACGCACGCACGCACGCACGCACACACACACATTCACACGCACACACGCACGCACGCACGAACGAACGCACGCAGACACGCACACACAAGCATTCACGCACGCACGCATACACACATGCACCCACATTCACACGCACGCGCGTGCGCACGCACGCACGCACGCACACACACATTCACACGCACACTCGCACGAACGCACGCACGCACGCACGCACGCACACCCACACGCGCACGCGCACGCCCGCCCGCACGCACGCACGCACTAACACACACACATTCCCGCGCACACACCATGCACGCACACACACACACGCACACATGTACGCACGCACGCACGCACGCACGCACGCACAAAAAAACACACATTCACACGCACACGCGCACGCAGGCATGTACGCACGCACGCACGCACACACAAACATTCACACGCACACACGCACGCACGCACGCACGCACGCGCACACACATACATTCACACGTGCACGCGCACGCACACACGTACGAACGAACGCACGCACGCACGCACGCGCGCGCGCACGCACGCACGCATGCATGCACACGTTCAGATGCACACACGCTCGCACGCACGCACGCACGTACGCATTCAAACGCTGGTACGCACGCAGACATGCACGCACGCAAGCACGCACGCACCCATGGACGCACACACACGCACGCACGCACGCATGCAAGCACGCACGCACGCACGCATGCACACACAGACAGACACATACGCACACACAACACACACAAAACACACACAACACACACACACACAAAACACACACACACAACACAGACAGCACGCACAGCACACAACACACGCAACACACATACACAACACACACACACACCTCACACACACCACACAACAGAGACCCGCGCACATACGCACGCACGCACACATACATATCCAAACTCACAGGAACATTCGCACGCAAATTCTCTCGCACGCACGCACGCACGCGCACACACACACACACGCACGCACAGACGCACGCACGCACACACACACATGCACACACACACACACATCCACACGCACACACGCACACACGGACGCGCACGCACGCAACGCACGTACACACTCACACACACACAAACACACACGCACACGTTCTCTCTCTAACACACACACACACACGCACGCACGCACGCACGCACTCATTCGCACGCACGCACACACGCACGCACGCACGCACGCACGCACGCACGCACGCCCGCACCCCGCCGGCCTCGCCCGCCGCCCGCCCGCACGCACTCAGCCACACCCACACACTCAAACACACAAACACACACGCACACATTATCACACGCACGCACACGCACGCACGCACGCTCGCACACACACTCGCACACACGCACACATACGCACACACACATGCATACGCACACGCGCACGCACGCACGTACGCACACACGCGCGCACACACACACATTCACACACACACACACACGCACACACACGCACACTCACACACACACACATTCACTCGCACACACGCGCGCGCACGCACGCACGCCCGCCCATACGCACGCACGCACGCACACGCGCGCACACACACGCACACACACACGCACACACACACACACACACACACACGCACACACACACGCATACTCATAGACACACACACACATTCACTCGCACACATAAGCACGCACGCACGAACGCACGCACCCGCACCTCCACCCGCACCCACACCCACACCCACACCCACACCCACACCCACACCCACACCTACACGCGCACGCGCACGCGCACGCGTATGCGTATGCGCACGCGCACGCGCACGCGCACGCGCAACACGACGGGCACGCGCAAGGCCCAGCGCACTCAACGCGCCAGGCCCAGGCCGCACTCCGCGAAGACCCACACATTGGCGGCGAGCGCGGGGGCTAGCGAGACGGAGTAAGCCTTCTCGGCAGGCGGCGGGAGATCTGCGCAAGCCTCGCGCCTTCTGAAGAGGTCTTCTGCGTCTACGGGGGAGGCCTAGAAGTCTCCTCGGCAGGCCCGGGGACTTCCGAGCCGACTGCGAGGGCCCGCCCCTCCGCATGTTACCCCCGGGGCTCGCCGCCGAACCAGGCTGGGACGCGTGGAGGCGCACCGGCAGTGGATACGTTCCTCCCCCGTCTTCGGCAAACTTGCGGCGCGATGGCGCCAACGTCGGCTTCCAACACCGCGTGGCTCGCTCAGCCGTGAACGATCGCGGCTCCCCGACGGCGCAGAAGTCGACATCGGCCGATCCTGGGCCACTGACGGCATTCAGCCTTTGAGTGCCCGCAACGGGGGCGGCGCGGACCTGCCCTACGTTGCTCCCGCCAGCGTCCTCGCGCAACTGCATCGGCGCGTAGCTCATCGCCTGCGCGGATATCCGCACCGCCTTCATGACGAAACGGCGATCGTCCATCAGCTCCTTCCCAGGGTCCTCCCCGAACACCTCCGGCGTCCGCTTCGACTCCTCGAGGACCCGCTCCCAGACCTTGCCAGGAACAGGAAAAGTGGTCTTGCGGGAAACGGGGCCGACCCTGCAGGGCTCCCCTGAGCCAGCTCTCCATCCCCTCGGCCAGAATCTATTCAACACTGGTCCCTGGTTCCCTCCTGGGGTTCATCCTGGTCGTGTTTTCGGAGCGCCTCCAGCCGTGGCGACGAGAACCTCTAGGAGAAAAGAGGAACGAAGAACGACGACGTTGCCTCGCGGCAGTCACCTTGAACCGCTCGTCGTGCTTGAGGTCGAAGAGGTCGCGGGCGGGGAGGTCCTTGAACGCGTCGAAGGAGGCCCGTTTGCCCCGCCTCTTGGCAGCGCGTGCAAGGGGGTGGCGCGAGCGGGGTGGGCTCCGAAGAAGCCAAGGCGCTTGCGTCTCGGGCCCTTCCACCTTCTAAGAAGCCTCCTTCGCAGACACACCTGGACCCTTCGAAGAAAACAAACCCCCGACGTCGTGATGCTTTTCACAAGGCGCGGTCGCGGATAAGACTGAGGGGGCGGCGGGGACGTCGGCAGTGTGCGAGGCTCTGAATTACACCTGAGAAAACCCCAATCAGTGGATGATTCGAAAATTAGTCATATGGATCTTGAGATCGATTGTGAGATCGATAATGAAATCGATAGTTGACGATGGTAAGGTCGATCGTGAGACCCAGAGTGAAATCGATTCAGTGAGATCGATATGGAGATCGATCGCGAGATCGCTCGTGCGATCTCCAGTGAGATCGCTTGCGAGATCGATTGTGAGATCGATTGTGAGATCGATCGAGAGGTGGGAAATTTGATCGATACTGAGACGGATCGAACAAAAAATCGACCAAGAACCCGGGAACCTGGGAATCTCGCCGCCCACCGAAATCGATCCGGGAACCGGGAACCTGGGAACCTGGAACAGGGAACGCGGGAACCCGGCCTGCCACCAAAATAGGCGTGAAACATTCGCCTTCTCTTTAAATTACACCTGAGAAAACCACAATCAGTGGATGACTTGAAAATTAGTCATATGGATCTTGAGATCGATTGTGAGATCGATCGTGAGATCGATAGTGGAATCGATAGTTGACGATTGTATGCTCGATCGTGAGACCGAGAGTGTAATCGATTCAATGATTCAATGAGATCGAAAGGGAGATCGATCGCGAGATCGCTCGTGCGATCTCTAGTGAGATCGCTTGCGAGATCGATTGTGAAATCGATTGTGACATCGATGGTGAGATCGATAGAGAGGAGGGAAATGAGATCGATGTTGAGACCGATCGATAAGAAGATCGACCAAGAACCCAGGAACCTGGGAACCTTGCCGCCCACCGAAATCTGCACGGGAACCGGGAACCCAGGAACCCGGAACCGGGACCCCAGCCTGCCACCAAAATCGTCGTGAAACCTTTGGCTTCTCGTTCAATGTCCGCTTGGACCCCTTCAGTGCAAGCACTGATTGGGGAAAAAACCCACGGCAAACGCTTAATATTTACAACAACTCATACATCGAGCCCGTCGCAGGAGCCGATTTTTCGTTAAAAACTATGTGGGTGGGTCGCGGGCCGGGTCGCGGGTGGGTCCCAGGTGGGCCGAGGGTTGTTAGCGGGCGGGTCGCAGGGTGGGTCGCGGGTGGGTCGCGGGTGGGTCGCGGGGTGGGTCGCGGTTGGGTCGCGGGCGGGTCGCGGGGTGGGTCGCGGGGTGGGTCGTTTGGGGGGGGGCGACGTCAAACAACAAACAAACAAACAAACAAGCAAGCAAACACACACACACACAAAAACAACAACAGCAACACCAACGACTACAGCAACAACAACAGCAGCAGCAACAACAACAACACCAACACCAACAACACCAACAACAACAACAACACCACCACCACCATCAACGACAACACCAACACCAACACCACCAACAACAACAACAACAACAACAACAACAACAACCACAACCACAACAACAACAACCACAACCACAACAACAACAACAACAACAACAACAACAACAACAACGACAACGACAACGACAACGACAACAACAACAACACCAACAACAACAGCACCAACAACAACAACAACAATCCGCATCGCGGAATTCCACTTCAGCCACGCACCCAGAGTGAGCGGGCCGAATTTCGGCCCCCTCGCTCTGATGACACGGACCCCTGGATGTCTCGACTCCTTCCCCGGGACAAGCTCCTCATCCTGAGTAAGTTCTTGACCGCCCTGAGGGCCCCCCCCCCCCCCCAGCAACGTCGACAGTGGACAAAGGCTTTCCACCTATTTTCGTTCACGGCGCGAGGGGGTATGGGACGTACCGCGACTTCTCGAGGGGGCGGATCGCCCGGGCGGAAGCAACGCGCGTGTCCAAGGGCGCCGACACCCATGTCTTCGGCGAGGCTCCCCGGCGAATGTTCGTGCAACGCCCGCCCCCCCGCCCTCGCTGCGCGTCCCCCTCCCCTCCCCCTCCCCTCCCCCTCCTCCTCCTCCTCCTCCTCCTCCTCCTGCTCCTCGCCCTCCTCCTCGCCCTCCTCTTCGTCCTCCTCCTCGTCCTCTTCCTCCTCCTCCTCCTCCTCCTCCTCCTCGCCCCCGCCTGCTTCGATAGCAAGGGCCCCGTCATCGACTCGGGGATGGCCTTGGGGGTCCCAGTTCCCGCGGCAGTTCCCCCCCGCTGGGGCGAGGCTGGGGGACATGCGGCGGCGCGCAGAGCGCGCTGCCGCCGTGAGACACGCGGTGGTCGATGTTTCCGCCGCGTGCGCTCCAGGAGGCTCCGCCTTGTCGCCCAAGACTGGCCTGGCGGTAGTCGACAAGCTCGTTTTCGCCGGCCCCGCACTCACGTTTATTCCTGGGTTGGTGTCATACGCTGACTCCACGCTGAATCCTTCTTCTCCTCCGCTTCCCCCCTCCTCCACTTCCTCCCCGTTCTCCTCCTCCTCCTCCTCCTCCTCCTCCTCCTTTTCCTCGTCCCTACTGCTCGCGTCCGCCTTCGCTGGTTCCAAGCGGCTCGGCGGCTGCAGCAGCACCGCGGTGGCTCGGTCCCTGTCATGGGCAAGAATGGTGCAGGCCGCGGGGGCTCGGACTTGTACAAACGTAAATGTTCCGCATGCGGGGTCTGTGGATGGAACCCACTGCTTATGTAAAGGTGTTGCTGGTGCAAGTGCAGCATCAAGCTCACCCTGCTCAAGGGCAATGGCAACGGAGGGAGCAAGGCCAAGGACACCAAGAAGGAGGAGGAGGAGGAGGAGGAGGAGGACGAGGAGGGGGAGGAGGCGCTGATCTTAATGTCCGTAAGTGCGGCAGGTACGACAGCTCCTCTTCCGAGTGTCGTCTCGCGGTAAGCGCTCGAGGCCACGACCGGCCCGCACCCCACAGCCGCGCTGCAGGCCGAGGCGCAGCGTCAGAAGGCGGCGGCACGCCACGACCCAGCCAACATCTCGGCTGGGGAGGTCCACAAGCGTGCCGAGGGTTCCTGGAAGGAGGCCAACTAGCGCCACGACCGGGCTACGGCGGCGGTGCAGCGCGCAAGAGACCTGTTACAGAAAGCGGACGTTAGAGGGCGGAGACCGTCCAGCTGCTCGCCAACGCGGAGTTTACCAACCGTATTGCCGTGCGGGCGCTAGCTATGGAAACTGACTTGACCTCGGCGACCACGGCGGGGACGGCTACCAGCAGCGAGGCCTTGACACCTGGGTCTGGCAATACCTTCGATGCGCTGGTTGACTCCAACTCCTTCGAAGCCCCGCGCAAGGGCGCGTACGAGTGCGATCAGAGCGAGGCGGACGAGCTGCTGCGGCTGGAGCCAGAGCTCAAGCAGGCCCCGACGCTCATCGGCGAGAGGGGCGAGAGGGCGAGACGCTCACGACCTGGAAGTCCAAGATGGAGGCCTCCAACGGTCGGTCCGCGAGCGCATGCGCCCAAGAAACGCAACGGGGACCGACGGCACCTCCCGCGGCAGCCAGCGAACCCGTGGCTGGAGGCGGCAGCGAGAGCGGTGACCCAACACCCGACGTCCCCGGCGAGGACGCCAAGGCGAAGCTCGATATGGAGATCGGCGATATCCGCGAGGCCAAGGCCACAGCGGCGGCAACGGCTGCCGCGACGGCCCAACAAGCCACGGCAGCGGCGGCGAAGGCGGCCGGCAAGGCCGGCCCAGTGGCGGCTGCATCCTGCCCCTCTTCCTCTTCGACGGCACCCTCTTCTTCGGCGATGGCAGCTGGCAGGACAGGTGCTTCAGCGTCGTCGAAGACTCCAACCTTGTCTACTCCAATTTCCGCGGGCTCGTCGGGTGGGGCAGGCGAGAGCAGCTGTCCTGAGGCGAGGCGCGCTCAGCTTCAGGAGGCGGCAGTTCCCGACGGTGATTCTCAGTCAGCAGGCGTCAACGCCAAAGACGCCGTCCAAGTCGCTGCTTTAGCAACGCTACGATGATCGCTAACCCTACTTGGAGCTGTCTTGAACGGCTCGCGAGTACACGTGTTTTGCAGTGTGCGAGACGCACGCTTCTTGGTCTCACACCTTCAGTGAGGGGCAACGATGGGGGGGGACTGGCATAAGGGGGGATGCATCGACCTGGAATCGGCGATGCATCGCCGATGGATCGGCGATGGGCCCCCCATGGCGAATCCGCACGTTCCTAGGCAGGTTTGGCTATCGGGCCCCTATCGGCGATCAATAGGCGATTGGGTGTCGATGCATCCCCCCTGGGCCTATCCGCTGATGTTTTTCGGGTCATAACTCGGTGCTCCGGCAGCCTTTTGGAACGATTCCAGCGACCCCGGCACGCCCTCGGCGAGGCGAAGCTGCTGGGACGCACCCCTAGGCTGGAACGCCGCCGCAAGCCGACGAGAACGCCCGAAAACCTAGCACATCGAACACGAAACGCCCCTGTGTCCATCCCCCCATATCGCTGCCCCTGATCCGAGGAATGCCATCAAAGCTCAAAGCTCGCCTCATGTGCTTCGCCGACGGACGGGGCCTGGCCGGGCGGACGGTTACCGTGCCCAGGGGAGGGGCCATTCTGTCTCGTGGCTGCTGTCGAACACTGCAGGGGACCTTTAGCCTACACTCCAGAGGCTTTCGGAGTAGGGTGCTCGAGGCCCCGCAAGGACCCAATGCGGACCGCTGGAGGAAGCTGACCGATGCCGTTCAGGCGACGGACCGTCACCGAAGCGACTTTCACGATCTGAAACTTCCTTCCCATGTCGTGGCTGAGGCGTGTGCCAAGGGTCCACCTGGCCACCGAATAGCAGGCATCGTGCTTGAAGATCATCTTGTGGGCTAGCAGCTGACCTTTTCAGCGTTTCTGCCGACCAAAACGCCAGGGTTCTTAGGTCGGG